TGTCGGAATCCCCACCGCACTCAGTGCAGTGACCGTGCGCCAGGCTATCAGAGACAAAACCACAATGGCCCCTACTTCTGTCTATCACCGCCTCATTCCCAAATGATCAGAAGCTGCCATCATCCATCATTTCCAAACAGATTCCGAATGTTATTTCAAAATAGCTGTCACTTCTGCACGTCTACATGAGCTTTTCCTCACCTGGCCCACATCATCTTCATAGCACATCACGCCACTATCACACGGTTCTGGGGAAGCAGAGACATGACATCACCCCATGGCATTTGCTCCCACACACAAATGCCGCCCTCCAGTAGCCTGGAGACGCTGGGATGTGTGTGCAGCGGGAGAGAGTCCGAGGGTGGATGCTCTCATATTCCCCACGTAGGTGAGCATGAGGGTCTGAGGCCAAAATATACACCTGGAGAAAGAGACCAGCAGTTGCAGGTCTTGTAAGGTGGATTTAGTGTAAACACTGACACTGGTGCCCACCCCTAACACTCTGACTTTCTGATCTGAATAAAAAGAACTGAAATATTCACACCATTATTTCTGTCACTGAACATTGAAGATGCCCAGAAGCCGTGAGAGAGCAGCTGGAGCTGCTGGAGAGGTCTGTATATTTCCAAGCAGGGACCAGTTTGCATGTGATCTGCATGTAGACATGGATGGAAAGACTTGAGGAATATAAAATGTGTGGCCTGCGAGTGTTTCCTCCCATCTGTAGGTTTTCTGTTTGCTCTCTTGACAGTGTCCTTGGCTGTGCAGAAGCTTCTTAATTTGATCAGGTCCCATTTACTTATTTTTGTTGTTGCTGTGATTGCCTTTGGGGTCTGGGGGATGGACACACTTGTAGCTCTGACTTGGGCGGGGCAAATGCAATATATGTAACCTAAAGAATTGTACCCCTGTAATATTCGGAAATAAAAAAAATATGTGTAAAAAATTAAATAAGACATAAAGAAAATTATACTATTTGCATAACAGGAAAGAAACGTGGGTGGGTTTTTTGTACTGTTACATGTAAAGATATTATTTTATTTTAATTGACAAACAATGCATACGTTTAATCTCATAACACGTGTTTTCATGTATGTATACCTTGTATATTGATCAAAGTAAGAAAACCAGCATATTCCTGATCCAAAATATTTATCAGTGTTATCATTTCTTTTTTTTATTTCACAATATTATGGGTGTACAAACATTTTGGTTACATATAATGGCTTTGCCAAGCCCAAAGCAGGGCTACAGGATTGCCCCTGCCCCACACAGCTCACTCCCCATCCTACCAAGTACTTGAGGGCAGTAAGAAGTCAGAGTGTTTTAGCTGACGTCTGCCTGCTGACATCTCAAGGCCCATCCTTCATCTTCCCTGTTTGCCCCACTCATGAGAATTCTAGGAAGGAATCACAGGTGCTTTCTCTTGAGATGGCTGTCAGAGGCCCAGACCCCACCAGACCCCTCCTGGGAGTGACAGTCCCCTCCCTTCCCATCAGGGAACTGTTGTGAAAACCTGAGCCAGTCTCCCCTCCTGCCCTACAAAGCCACTTAGGACTTTCTTGGAGGCCTGCCCTGCTCTGCAGACACCTCAGTAATGGAGGGAGCAACCCTTCCCGTGTTCATTTAGTGTGTGAGTGTATGTGTGTGTTTGTGGGTGCATGTGTGTGTGCGTGTAACAACATCAGAGTCAATTTCTGCATTAAATGTTGGTGGGGTCCCTCTGTCCTTGAATTGTGTCAGATAGAATCGATGTTGTGAGCCTGGTGCTGGGACAGTGTCCACCATGGAGTCTTCCTTCTGTTGCTTAGGATACTGGCTCCCTCCTCCCCTGATGTCCTGCTGACACTTTATCGTGCTTGCTGGATAGAAGGAACGTTCACTTCCGTGTGCTCTGCTGCATTGTGTTGTCCAAGACAAAATCTGTTATCGATTTTCAGACTTATTCAGAAATGCTGATAATTTATGTACATTTGGGGAGAGGACAAAGTGACTGGAAGCCACTCTCTGCCTTTTGTGCAGGTGAGAGTATTTTCTCTCATTACCACGAACATATCTAACTCAGAGACTGCAGAGGGAAGCTCAGAATCGTGGATTCAGAGAAGTTTCCCAGAAGAAACCATTTTATGGAGAGGAAGCCACGACCCTGAGCGGAAACCAGCCCTTACCCTCCACCGGCACCTGCCCTGGACTGACTCTGCTCCTTGTGCACCGCGCGCCCCCTGGCGGCCACCCGCGACCCCGCAGGAGGTTTGTGTCTGGGCTCACACTGATGTCCCCTCACTGTGTCTTTCGCACAGTAGTACACGGCCGTGTCCTCGGCTCTCAGACTGTTCATTTGCAGAGACAGCGTGTTCTTGCTGTTGTCTCTGGAGATGGTGAATCGGCCCTTCACGGCGTCTGCGTAGTATGTGCTACCACCACCACTATTAATGCTTGAGACCCACTCCAGCCCCTTCCCTGGAGCCTGGCGGACCCAGTACATCCAGTAGCTGCTGAAGGTGAATCCGGAGGCTGCACAGGAGAGTGTCAGGGACCCCCCAGGCTGGACCAAGCCTCCCCCAGACTCCACCAGCTGCACCTCACACTGGACACCTGCAAACACAGACACATCCTGGTCACAAACTGCCACACACACCCCTGTTTCTCTCACTCACATCCACTCACACGCCCAATGTCTCTAGTTCTCCCTGAATTACCTTGTAACAGAGCAACAAGGAAAACCCAGCTGAGCCCAGACTCCATGGTGAGTCTCTGTGTTCAGTCCTGATCACCGAATGGGGACACCTGGGAATGCCGGGGCTGGGGCTCCTCTCCCAGAGCTGCAGGGTGAGGGCTGGGCTGGTTTTCATGAGCAGAGGGAGGGCCCTATTTGCATGTCCCTTGCTATATAGCATGTGCTGGGGTGGGACACCTCAGGGAGGGAAAGACCAGAGAAAAACTGCATAACTGTACTGTGAGAAATAGTTAATTCCTGTTCACCTATCTATTTACAGACACACATAAACCCTGTGCTGTAGGTGTCAAGTTTGCATGTATTTTGCAGATGTAAATGCAACCCTAGACTCATCTAGAAGTTGTGTGATATGTCCAGAAACACATATCTCGGAATAATTCATCTCAGTGTCTGGGCCATGAGGCCATCCTTGGAAGCCACTGCAGGCCAAAGCCGGACATGTCTAGGGTGCTTTCTAGAACCCTGATTCTATAATAAGAACAAAAACCAAATTTCTTGCCTGTTTTTTTTCTTAAAAATATAAAAAAATGTGGCACACAGGATTAATGCAAATAAATGAACCTAATGTTTCACTTATATTATCTATTTGTCCATCCCTCCTTCCCTACCAAATCATCTATTAGTTGTTCCTATTAACTTTAATGTGGCATAGTTGATACACAGTGGCCTTAACATAGTTAAAGTTTGCAAGTGAAAGATGCTGACAGCACCACAACCCTGTCTGTGATGTTGAGGAAGTCGATTTCCCGTGATGTTTTCACTTGTCCTTCGAAAATTCCTCCTGCTTTCCCCTTCCCTCTTCCTCCCTTTACCCAGGCAACTGCTAGTATAGCTCATAGTGTTTTAGATCCGTTTGCACTTTCTAGAGTTTATAATAGTGGAATCAGGTAGTAGGTGCTTTTTGCTTATTTTACTCACAGCACATACTGTGGGTGCAGCCACGCTGCAGTGTGTGTCAGACAGTCATTGTGGTTAATGATGGAGTGTTCTAATGGGTCATTTACAAAAAATACTTGTTTATTAATCAACTGGTTAATGTTGGGATTGTTTCCAATTCCTTCCTATTAAGGACAAAGCTTCTCTTCACCTGGGAGCAGTAGACAGCTGAGAAAAAGCTCTCCTTCTCACAGCCATAGCAACATCATCGTCATGCATAACGCACGACTGCTGAAGCTGTAGATTAGCACATTTTATTTAATATTTCAGATAATGGAAATTATGTGACAAACAACAAACCTGAAACTGGCAGAGGACCCCGGTTGGGTGCTGAGGGAGACCCACTGTGCAGTGGGTTTAGACGGCATGTTCCCCACTCGAGTTTGCATCTGTCCTGCCCTGCCCTGCAGGGGAGACTCCCAGGTTCATAGCCCAGCACCACTGGGGCAGCAGGGGCTGAACTGAACCTCCTGGGAGGGGCAGGAAAAGGTCCCAATAATCCCTCCAACCTCCCCATACATCTGGTCCAGGTGCCCGCAGGACTCTGATTGGGGCTCCATCTCACCCCCCCTTCTCTGTGACCCTGTGGAGGAGGTTGTCAGAATCTAAATGGAGTCACATATTGGAAAAAAGCCAAACAACCTATAGAATGCAGCCTGGAAAGACTGTGAAGTGAGGAGTTCATGCATAAATGCCACAGAACAAGAACTATCACTCTTCTTCACCAACTGGCACTTTGCACATGAGTGTGATTGAGGCCTGGGCACCCAGCTGGGGGTGAGGACAGTTGTTCCAGCCCTCCGACCACCCTCACCTTGCTGATTTTCCAGACCATCACCTATGGCATTCAGGGCAAGTTGCTGAAGTCAGTTTGTCTCCTGCATTTCCACATTCCTGCAGACAACGATGAACAGGGAATATGTGCTGAGGGTTTCTGAACGTCCACAGACCATTGCTCCAACCAGTATCTCGTGGTTCTGCTTTATACATTTCTGTCGACCCACCACTGTCCTCTTCAGCCACCTCTTTCCTTAGTAACCATGTAAATTCGCCCACCATGCTGGGATGAGTCCCTTCCTTCTCCCCTGCATCTGTTCCATTCTCCTTTGTATCCACCTCCCATCCTTAGTATCTCTGAGGCCCAAAGGGATCTCTGAGTGGGGAGATAAACCTATACAGCTTCTAAGGTGTTTCCTGACCTTGTACAGTAGGGGCAACTGGAGTGCAGAACCAAAAGGGCCTCCCTGTGTCCCAGCCGTCTCCCGTGGCCTGGACAAGGTGCGTAACACGTGATCACGACCCCAACTCCATAAAGCCACGTCAGCAGGACTTGGGTGTGTGGAATCAGTTCTCCATCTGGAGAGTCCGCTTCACTCTTCAAAGGAAGTAACTTACCTTACGGGGTCAGCAGTCTGTTACCTCCTGTACCGGGTCAGTTATCCCAGCAGGAACAACGTGC